GTGTGTGTGTGTGTGTGTGTCTGTGGTGCGTGTGTGTGCGTGTGTCTGTGTGTGCGTGTGTCTGTGTGTGCGTGTGTGTGTCTGTTTGCGTGTGCGTGTGTGTGTCTGTGTGTGCGTGTGTCTGTGTGTGCGTGTGTCTGTGTGTGCGTGTGTCTGTGTGTGCGTGTGTCTGTGTGTGCGTGTGTCTGTGTGTGCGTGTGTCTGTGTGTGCGTGTGTCTGTGTGTGCGTGTGTCTGTGTGTGCGTGTGTCTGTGTGTGCGTGTGTCTGTGTGTGCGTGTGTCTGTGTGTGCGTGTGTCTGTGTGTGCGTGTGTCTGTGTGTGCGTGTGTCTGTGTGTGTGCGTGCGTGCGTGTGTGCGTGTGTGTGTGTGTGTGTGTGTGTGTGTCAGGCTCAGAGGCTGCTGTTGCAGGACGGGTCTTTAGCTCACTTCACAGTGCAGAATCCCTCCAGTCTCCCCACCATCACGCTAGGCCTCCCCGCTAACACCAAGGTATCGCAGTCGCCATGTGCTTTCTTACAGTCAGTAATTCCTTACAAATATTGCGCAATATGTAATCTGAAAGGTTTTTGGAAGTAATGTCATTCTTGTGAAAAAGAAGTACACTTTAGCAAACTTTTTTAAAAAGGGTACTTATAACAGAGTTGCCCAAAATTTTAACATGAAGGGCCAAAGGGCTTGAAGGGGCATGTTAATTGCAATTAAATAAAAATGCATTATAGTGTATTATAGTTTAAATAAATGTTTAGATCATTTTAATTAAAATTACAAATAAATATTTAGTTTATTAAATGTAATTAGCTGAAGTTTTTGACCCACCTAAATAGGACTTAATACATCTTTATATGTAATTTCATAATTACTTCTGTTGTCTGTTGTCTTTGCTGAATATACCGACATTTATGTAATGGTAAACTCTGTCATTTCTATTAAAACTTGTGTCTCGTGTATTTAAATCTATTTGCAATTGCACATTTGTGATGATGAAGTTACAATTTAGTTCATTTAAAAGATATTAACTTTAAATGCAATATTGAGTAACACACTACAGCTAAAATTATAATCAAGTACTTTGCATGTGCTTTAGTATGTTAGTCAACACATCAAAACAAGTGTACTTCTTTAAAGTGTGAAAAAAGCACATGATGATTTAAAATGTACTTTAATATAAAACTTTTATTTTGACATTGCAAAGTGTACTTTTTAAAATATTTAAGGTATACTCTCTTTAAGTACTTTTAAGTGGCCTTTCATTTCATTAATATGAAATAATCTGCAAGTACAGTTTTTTTACAGATACTTTTAAGATTTGAAGTTCACTACAAGTGCACATTTACTACAGTTAAGCGCCCTCCTTTTTCAGAAGGGATGTTCCTTTTTGAATTTACACTTAAATACCTAAAAGTTATGTTTTTGAAGAAGGTACTTTTCTATTTATAAAAATAATCATAATATCGGTCAATATAGCATTCCAGTCTTGTTGAAAAGACAATACTTTAATGGATTTAAAATTGTAATGTAATGACAAAACTGCATTGTTCCCGTTAAAACCAACACAGCAGCACTGCAAGCTGCACATCGTCTGTACAGGGGTGTGGGCTGGCCGTTTTAGGCTAACTATGCCAGGGAAAATACCACTCTGAATTTTAAAATCGCCCACAAGTGAGTGAGAGCCTCAGCTAACATGCGAACAAGTAAAATAAAAGAAACAAGTGTGTTACTTTCCATATAAAAGTGATGAATTAACGCACTGGTTCTCATTTACAGTTTCAACATCAAGCAGTGACACACAACACCGTTCCAAAACTCTTTATTGAACAAAATAGAATTTTGATGGTTTCATGCTTTTGGAACCCAATAATTCTCCACGTAAAACATTGTAGTTTGCACAATCCATTTGAACTTGTATTTAATGTCTTCTAGTACATGTTTCCGCAGTTGCTTTAATTATTGCATTTAGTATTTGTTGCTCCTTCTGTCAGAACTGACCTGAGACCCATTTAGAATCACTGTAATGTACTTTTTTAAGGGTAATACATCATAAAATACAATTCCTCATTCATGCAAGTATCATTAGCTATTTTGAGGCTGCAGTTTAACTCAGAAGCTGGTAGCGTGATGTGAGGCAGCCCATAATAAGCTCGAGTGTCTCTGCAGGTGGAGAGTGAGTTGGGTTCGCTGAAGCTGGGTCGTGTGCCGGTGCTGGTTCCTCTGGGTGTGGAGGAGCAGAGCGGACCGCTCATACAGCCCGTCCTCATCCTGGAGCCCTCTGGACTCGTACACACCCCTCTACTGGCCGGTAAGAGCTCTGAACGCTGTCTGAATCACTCTGAGAGTTTTACTGTGAGGAAATGCTACTGAAGGACTGTATGCTTGATATGTCCGCCATCTAGTGGTCACTGCTTGAAACAACAGTCTGGCTGTTGGGAATAACAATTATTTTCAGAATATAAACTATATTCATTCATTTATAAATAGTCTTTGTATTTATAGTGTGACTTTTTATATTTGTTTTACACAGCAAACAATTATGGGACTTCAGAAAAACATATACACTACCATTCAAAAGTTTGGGGTCAGTATGTTTATTTATTTTTTTAATAAATACTTTTATTCAGCAAGGAGACATTCGATTGGTTAGTAGTGACAGCGAGAGTAAAGACTTTTACATTATTACAAAAGATTTCAGTCTCAAATAAATGCTGTTCTTTTAATGATGCTGAAAATTCAGCTTTGCATAACAGGAATACATTATATAGTGATAGTGTAGAATATTAATATACTGTACAGTATTAATTTACTGTATTTTTTTTAAATAAAATAAACAAAGCCTTTGTGAGCACAATAGTCTTTTCAAAAACATTGAAAAATCTTACAGTCCACTAAACAGTAGTGTATATTATAATAATATTTAATTATTTTTTTTAACTATTATATTTATCTGTTTTTAAAAATATTAGTCTTATTATTATTATTATTATTATTATTATTATTATTATTATTATTAAGTTATTATTATTATTATTATTATTATTAAGAAAACAAAAAAACTAAACAAACAAAAAACACTGGACAGTCTAATATTTAAATACAAAATCAATGTAAAAAAATAAAGAATTATATTACTTATTATTATTATTATTATTAAGAAAACAAAAAACCTAAACAAACAAAAAACACTGGACAGTCTAATATTTAAATACAAAATCAATGTAAAATGAATTACATGAAAAAAAAAAGTTATATTTATAATTCATGCACCGTGCTCACTGAGTTGATATGTTCGAATCTATTGTTATATTTAAGTCATTGTGGGTCATTTTGCATGCTGTTTATTTTGCACTTTGTGTGATCTAAACTATGTGGCATGGTATTTTGATATTGAGCTTGAATATTATGCTTTCATCTCCTTCTGTTTTTATGAAAGTATAATCAGATTTGTCCCTGCTGTTTGTGATCAGTTCCAGGTCTGGGTCCGGTTCCCCTGCAGTTCAGCGCGTCTGGTCCTCATAAGCCGCTGAGCCGGACCCGCTCCGAACCGCTGCCCCAGAGCCCCCGTGCGCTCCATCCTCACCTGCTCCAGCAGCAGCAGCACAGCGCGCAGCTCCTGGAGAGACTCAAGCAGCAGACTCACCTGGGCAAGGTCCAGATCACACCCCTCACGCCTCGCTTTACTCTAGGACAGGGATAATACAATGACTTTCGATGCATTCCGGAATCAAATCTGATTAGTTGTTTGTAGTCAGGATCGAAAAAAGCGTGAAATCTGATTTATTTTGTCAAACCTCATCCAAACCACATTCATATTTGATTTGAAATCAGATTTTGGAAATGCACGTCATTTATGTTTGTGGAAGGAGAATGAAAACAAGTATGTGGGATTCATCAGGATCTCTGTCCGTGTCCCGCAGCTCATGTCGAAGTCCAGCGAGAAGCCTCGTCTCCGGCAGATCCCGTCAGAGGACATGGACTCCGAGGAGGTGGGGCCGTCAGCGGGCGACGCCCATCAGGCCAGGGTGAGGGCGGAGTCTCAGAGAGAGCTGGAGAGTCAAGAGGAGCAGCTCAACCTGCAACACGCCCTCATTCTCAACCAGGTTAGACACAAACCACCAATCCTGAAGAATAAGCCGCACATGTTTCATTGTGCAAAACGGCCTGCCTAAACGTTATCACACAAAATTTAGAAGTAATTTCATAATAACTTATGTTTCAATTTGCTAGATAAGGGGGAAGCCAAAAATTTAAATGAAAGAAAATTCAAGCGATCCAATAATCGTGTGTGGATGAATGTCACAAAAACATTGTGAAAGAAGTCTTGTATGCTCAACAAGGCTGGATTTATTTGATCAAAAATACAGTGATAATGTGAAATATTATTACTATTTAAAATAACTGTATTCTATGTGAATATATTTTAAAATGTAGTTTATTTCTGTGATCAAAGCTGTATTTTCAGCATCATTCCTCCAGTCTTCAGTGTCACATGATCTTCAGAAATCAGTATAATATGCTGATTTGATGCTCGAGAAACATGTATTATTATTATCATCAATCTTGAAAACAGTTGTGCTGCTTCATATTTTTGTAGAAACCACAATATACATATTTTTTCAGGATTCCTTGATAGAAAAAAAATTAGCACGTACCACAAACTTTTGAACTGTAGCACGTGATCTCAAAATCAAAAGACAAACCGTTATGTTTTGCATAAATAAAATAAAGCATGCTTGTTTTTTATCATTAAGTGTTTTAACACCTTTATTTATTTCATGACAATTAAGCACATTTTTTGATAATTTTATAAAAGTTGTCGTTAGATGTTCACTACTCTGATACAATAAAAAGGCAGTAGATTTGACCATTTTTAAAACTCATTTTTATTTTAGTTAAATCAACTTATTCCATGGTCTGTCTGAATACTGGATTCTGATTGGCTGGCAGGTGTGCATTAAAACTGTTTAATGCACAGGTAGTTCCAAGTCAGTTTAATAACCGTTCTATATTAATGCGCTGCTTTAATTGATGCACACACACACACACACACACACACACACACACACACAGAGAGAGCAAGAGATTGCGCTGCGTACACACAGAAACATTCAGGAGCACAGAAACTTGTTGTCAATGCTGCTCCGCGACATTTATTAATAAAATAGCTTAGATCGGTCAGTCGATCGATCGATAATTAATTAAAATAAATGTTATAATACATTATTTCAAGTAAATGTGATCTAACTGCACTATTTCATCCCTATGTAGTAATACTTCTCAAAAGTATTGTATGATATTTTATTTCAGACATTTATCTGATGTAGTTTTCGTAAAACATCCTGAAACGCTTTCTTTGCAGTCACGCCTGTGGGAAACGCAAAAGCAACTCCAGCACCTGCGCAGACAGACGGCTCACATGGAGACACTGGCGGTACCCATGATGCTCGGCGCCGCACACCGGCCGCTCTCTCGTACGCAGTCGTCTCCAGCCTCCACCTCGCTGACGCTGCCGGACAAAGCCTTGCCTCTCAGCACGGCACCGGAGCCGCCCCAGAGCCAGCCGCGCTTCACCACGGGTACAGAGTCTCCACCAATCACACGGCTCTCTGCACCAGATGATACACTCACACTGACTCAAACCTCAATGTGTGTGTGTGTGTGTGCAGGTCTGGTGTATGACTCCCAAATGCTGAAGCACCAGTGTGCGTGTGGAGACAACAGCAGCCACCCAGAGCATGCTGGGAGAATCCAGAGCATCTGGTCGCGCTTGCAGGAGAGGGGCCTCAGGGGCCAGTGTGAGGTATTTACAGCCTGCACTTCCTCTCCTTTCCTAAAGGGGGTGCTGAATAATCTGTCCTACCATCATTTTCAACATTTCTTGAGCACATCCACATTAACGGAACAGTTCAGCCCAAAATCAACATTCTGTCATCATTTATTCACCCTCATGTTGTTACAAACCTGCTTGACTTGATTTTCTTCAGTGGAAGTAGATCAACAGAAGGAGATGAAAGCATAATATTCAAGCTAGATATCAAAATACCATGCCACTAAGTTTAGATCACACAAAGTGCAAATGAACGCAACAGACCACTCCATCTTAAGAAAGGCTCTTTAAAAATTACTATTTAAAATAGAGGGCAGCGCGAAAAGTGTTTTTCATTGTAGATGAGCATGTCTTCACTTCGGTAACACTTTATTTTAAGGTGTCCTTGTTACACACGTTACATGTATTTACTATTATAATAATTAATTATGCATAATTACACGCAAGTAACCCAAATCCTAACCCTAACCATATAGTAAGTGCATGTAGTTAATTAATGTTACTCAGTACTTAAATGTATAATTACACTGTAACAAGGACACCTTAAAATAAAGTGTAACTTTCACTTCTTAAGAAAATATTTGAGGACTTGAGATTTTTTTTTTCTTACGAACTTCTTCATTCAAGAAGATTTCCATGAATCCGGCACCTGGTGACAAAAGCACACGTTCAGTGAATAGCAACAGGAAAATTCATATTAGTTTTTGTCGCACAAAACTTTTGTATGACTTCAGAAGATAAACAGTATAGCGGACCACGTTCTTCATACTTCTTTTGGTCCTTTTCGAAGCTTCATTCTCTTCCTTTTTCATTTCTCAGTCCTCATTCGCTTCCATTATATTGAAAAAAGATATCCAAAAACCTCCCTGCTTTTAATAACTCCAATGCTGGCAGCATGTTTGCACCATGAAAATCCTCTCTCATGGTCTTTGATGTTTTTGCTTCCTCTGCAGAGTATTCGGGGAAGGAAGGCCACTCTAGAGGAGTTACAGTCTGTCCACACCGAGCGTCACGTTCTGCTCTATGGCACCAATCCACTCAACCGCCTCAAACTGGACAATCGCAAGCTGGCCGGTAACACATCGTCACACACACACGATTCACATCATATACACACGTGTCAGCTGCAGCTTGGCCAGCACAACACCTCATTTTTCAAAGTACAGGAACGCCAACACACGAATATAAGCGACTTTCGCAATGACTAAAAGGTTGGAAATGTCAAGCGGCGAATGCGAGAATGACAGTTAATCGGCTTGACGTCACTCTGTGTCCAACAGGCATACTGTCACAGCGAATGTTCGTCATGCTGCCCTGTGGAGGAGTCGGGGTAAGTGAAAACACACACACACACACACACACACAGAGTCAACTTGGCCATAACCCTGCAAGAAACATGCTAGATGCGGAAATTAAGTAGACATACATGACGTCATGACGTCCAGTATTTTACTTGTTGTTAACTGGGAGAATTGAATTATTATTATTGATACAGAAAGTTAAATTCCAGCAATTTTAGCAGCGAATGTTACAGTATTTTCATTAAGGGCATGTAACACATCGTCACACACACACGATTCACATCATATACACACGTGTCAGCTGCAGCTTGGCCAGCACAACACCTCATTTTTCAAAGTACAGGAACGCCAACACACGAATATAAGCGACTTTCGCAATGACTAAAAGGTTGGAAATGTCAAGCGGCGAATGCGAGAATGACAGTTAATCGACTTGACGTCACTCTGTGTCCAACAGGCATACTGTCACAGCGAATGTTCGTCATGCTGCCCTGTGGAGGAGTCGGGGTAAGTGAAAACACACACACACACACACACACACACACACACACAGAGTCAACTTGGCCATAACCCTGCAAGAAACATGCTAGATGCGGAAATTAAGTAGACATACATGACGTGTTAGTGGCCAGTATTTTACTTGTTGTTAACTGGGAGAATTGAATTATTATTATTGATACAGAAAGTTAAATTCCAGCAATTTTAGCAGCGAATGTTACAGTATTTTCATTAAGGGCATGTGCAGTAAGACTTAACCCGACTCATGAATTAGTATGTGTGCGCAAGTAAGCATGACCCAGAAACACGTGACTACACTTTATTTTGATGGTGCAGATTTGACACTCTACTAACTATAATATAAGAATATAACTATATAGGTAACAACATGTCTAACTAACTCTCATTAGAGTATTAGTAGACTGTTAGGTTAGGGTTAGTAAAAGAAGTTGACATGCAGTTGCAAAGTTACTTATAGTCCACAAAATGTCTATTGGTGGAGCGTCAAAATAAAGTGTTATTAAGCAGACAGTTTACTAATACTCTAACTTTGCAACTACTTGTCAACTAACTCTCGTTACTTATAGTTAGTAGAACGTCTAAAGTGGACTAACGACATAAATGTTACCACATATGTAGTTTTTAGCCAAGTTAGCATGTCATGTTGCTCTGTGAAGGTTTAATTCAAGATCCACACGTCATTTGACTTTGAGTTTGGACGTATTTTAATTGAGATCATCTGCTATAAGCAATAATAGACCATTTTACTTATTTTGTTTGTTTTAAGAAGCAATAAGTAAAAACGTGACAAAAAGCAGCCTCTGTTAAATGCTTTCTCACATACAAATGCTCACTAGAGTTTTTGAGTGAAATAAATATTCTTGTATTGTAATAGTCAAGACTTTGCGTCATATAGACGGCACATCTATTCAGTCTGTATGATGTTTTTACAGATTTCAATGATGATGAGTATTACTAACATATTTCATAAATTGAAAGGGGTATAATGCAAAAACACTGTTTTTTAGATATTGTTATCTGCCCAGAATTTCAGTGCATCTGATCATTTAAAGAGATAGTACACCCAAAAAATGCATTTACTCACCCTCGTATCCTTCCAAGCTTTTGTTCTTTTTTTGGAACACAAATGAAGACATTTTTATATTCTGTTATAGTTTTTGTCAGTCTATTGGAAATCTTTGCAACCAAAACTTAAATGCATTAAAAATAACATAAAGACATCGCAAAAGTAATCCTTGTGAATTGAGCGGTTTAATGCAAGACTTTTGTTCGCATACATAAATAGCCTGATTTGTGGGAACAAACCTCATTGGTTCTCACACATCAAACAAGCACGCTTGAGCTTCTGTTTACCATATTTGATGTGCTCTATGTGAGTGTATTGATCAGCGTTTATGTAAGGGATAACGTACACACATTATCCCGCTTATTGCACGGCTACTTGCCACATGAGTAAATAATTAGACACGAAATATTGATTTGAGTTGAAATATTTGAACGCAAAGCTTCCGTGAAGACAGCAATTGTGAGCAAGCGGCAAGTTCAAACTAGATTGACATTTAAGGGATACGGTGCAGTTAGACAACATTTCACATAAATAATTATGGCGATAAAAGATATTGATTTAAGACAGCAGCTGCGTTTGAATGAAACGAGAGAGCGAGTCCGCGATACCAGGATGACATAATTAAATAATTGCACGCATAATATTGAATCGAGTTTTAATATATTATTAGCTAACCAAACGCAAAGCTTCCACCAAGAAAAACTGTTCCTAGCAAGAGTATAGCGCCGACTTCAGTTACCCGGATGAGCCTGTGTTATCAGCTCTTACCGGTTGTTATCGAGGGATAACAGACCTCGGAATGTCGCGACTGACCAATCAGAATCAAGTATTCCACAGAGACGTGTAATAAATATGAATAAAAGCCTAAATGAAATCTTTTCATCATGTTTCATCAAAACACTTGGTTTAAACCGCTGTATTCGTATTAAAGCAATAAGCCCCGTGAAGCCGTGGTTTACAGTGAATTTATAACAGCTAAGAAGTCTATATCAAAGAGTCCTAAAAATAAAATGCACCATGGTTTCCACAAAAATGTGAATCAGCACAACTGCTTTCAAGATTGATGATAATAATAAATGTTTCTTGAGCAGCAAATCAGCATATTATACTGATTTCTGGAGGATCATGTGACACTGAAGACTGGAGTAATGGTGCTGAAAATTCAGCTTTGATCACAGAAATAAATTAAAATTTTAAATATATTCACATAGAATACAGTTATTTTAAATAGTAATAATATTTCGCAATATTACAGTTTTTTCTGTGTTTTTGATCAAATAAATGCAGCCTTGGTGAGCAGAAGAGAGTTCTTTCAATCTCATTGACCCAAACACTTGAACGGTAGTGTATTAGGATTGTGTGCAAGTTTTGCACAGACAAGAAAAATTATAACGTTTTAGGCATTTTTTTCTCCACTATGGTAATATGCATAATCAGCAAGTAGTAATGAGAGGCAATATGGAGACCACACACAAAGAATCTTTAAACATACCATTAGTTTGACACATAACATGAAATCTATTTATAGTGTCGGTCACTCCAGCCTCTTTCTTTTAGTGTGTATTCTTGAAATGTAGTTTATGTTCTGTAATTTGTAACACACACTTCATCTTGTGGATGCTTACAACAAAAATAAGCATCTAAATACTTTTGCATGCATGAGTGATCTTTATACAAATATGGTTGGATAAACATGTTTCGTCATAATTCTCCAGCGTTACCATCTGTTTGAAAGCATACAGCTGGTTATTCATTCATTTGAATAGGATTACGCTCAGTTTACTGATTGTGGATTAAAAATGAGATGCTTAAAATATGAGTTCAGATTCCACCCCGCCTTGTTGTCTGCGGTTGTTGTTGATGAGCACATCTCTATTGCATCAGTTTGCCGTAAGTGCCTGTCGCGCATTGTGCAGCCGTGCCCTTCAGTTGAACCGCTGTTTGCGGCTTTGCAGATTTATGAACGTTGATCACGGCTGTCATAATGATAAATGTGCTAGTGTACGCCAAGACAATTCAGCTACATCATTTTATTCTGGCAGAATGGGTGACTGACAGAGATGGTTTGTCATGTACGCGCGCTGAGGGATTACGAGAGCCAGGGCTTGGGTGGAGGCGCCTACTCGCAGCAAAAAACGGTGAAACATTCGCAAAATCAAGTGTTAACTTGGGTTCAGCTGCACATAAATCACTCAGCAAAGCAGTTTTGTTTATGATCAGAGTAGTTACACCTACGTGTAAGTGGAGTAAGTGACGCAAAATCTGCAAAGGGGTACTTAAATGTAACAAATAATGTAAAAAGGGATCATCTTTTATTGAAAAAAAAATACTTTGTGCTTTTAAACAACTGAGAAGTTGAGAGAAGTAAAAATCACCTCAATTTCAGCGAGTGAAGAATATACTCGAGTGTATTATGTATTAGGTGTGTTATCGTCAGCATGTTGAAGCCGCTCAGGCCGCTATTTTCTCCTTCTCTGCAAGCGTGGGTTTTCTGGGAAATGCATATACTCATTTAGACCTCTGTTTCTCATAAATGTGACCCTGGACCACAAAATCAGTCATAAGGGTCAATTTTTCGAAATTGAGATTTATACATCATCTGAAAGCTGAATAAATAAGCTTTCCATTGATGTATGGTTTGTTAGGATAGGACGATATTTGGCCGGGATGCAACTATTTGAAAATCTGGAATCTGAGGGTGCAAAAAAATCTAAATATTGAGAAAATCACATTTAAAGTTGTCCAAATGAAGTTCTTAGCAATGCATATTACTAATCAAAAATTAAGTTTTGATATATTTACGGTAGGAAATGTACAAAATATCTTCATGGAACATGATCTTTATTTAATATCCTAATGATTTTTGGCATAAAAGAAAAATTGATCATTTTGACCCATACAATGTATGTTTGGCTATTGCTACAAATATACCCCAGCGACTGAAGACTGCTTTTGTGCTCCAGGGTCACAAATATTACTGTGTACTGTGCATGTTATTTTTTGACAGACATCGATGTTATGATTCAAATAATGTGGATTTGAAAACAGATGGATCGTGAGGCAATAATTATTTATTTCTTAGCTGACAAGTATACAGTGAAGCGACGGATGCCCTAATGCTTCTAATATTCCAGCCGACAGCCAGTCTTTTTATGGACGTGATAACGTGCGAGGGGTGAACTGTGTTTGATTTTGGGCTATTATAAAATGTGTTTTATAAAATGCTCATTATACTTGAGGTTTATTTTGTGGCTTAAATAAATTGCACGTTACCCAGAGACTGAGATGTTTGACTTGTCAAAAATCTGACTTTTGAAAATCAAGTTCATTATTTTTTAGATGGTTTTAATGCACAAAGCTGTTTTTATCGTCTTTTATAACACACACGTTGGCAGTACTTTATTTTACAGTCCTGTTCCGCTATGTACTTATTATAATAGCTGGGTAATAACTAAGTACTAACCCTAAACCTAACCTTAACCAATGTAGTTACCGGTAACACTTTATTTTAAGGACCAGTTCTCACTATGAACTAGTTGCTTATTAGCATGCATATTAGTAGCATATTGGCTGTTTATTAGTACTTACAAAGCACATATTAATGAGTTAATCTGCTTGATCATATTTTAGATCCCTTAATCTGACCCCATACCTAAACTTACTTACTATTAATAACAACAAATTAGGAGTTTATTGAGGCAGAAGTCATAGTTAATTAATAGTGAGAGTAGGTCCTTAAAATAAAGTGTGACCTAGTTACCTTGTACTACGCAGTGCTTTCTTGGGTAAGTACACTTTTAGTACACTGTAAGTACGCATACTGTAAAACAAACTGTAACCAAAATCCTTTATTTAAATGCAGATCGTGTCGTTTTTAAAACTGTTGCTCCATTATTACCCCCTAGCAGATTTGGACTCCTATAAAGAAATCAACTGATTTTTAGGCTTCACCTGCGCTGTTTGCTGAGCATGCTTGTATTTCGACAGGTGGACAACGACACCATCTGGAACGAGATGCACACGTCCACAGCGTCCCGCTTGGCGGCCGGGAGCGTGACGGAGCTGGCCTTCAGAGTGGCTAAAGGAGAGCTCAAGGTCTGTACAAAACAATATCCAACACTTACTCTGATGAACATTGTATTATTGACAATAAATGCATTCATTTTCATTAATTCAGTGGCCACACATGTACATGGGTCAAAGACGAAAAAGGGTTTAAGCATAAAAACTACAACAAATAAATAGTTGGTTTTCCAAAAAATAAATAAAAAGTTTTCTGTTTAATGTAATTGTATTTTTGTTTTTGTTTTTCTGAGCAAAAAATAAATATCATACATTTCCCCCTGATTTACAGAAGACACCCACTAAAATGTCATTCAGTGTAACGATCTCGTCAGGCATATTTACAACAAAAATTAATTTGACATATTAAAAAACTAATTACTTTCACCCCAAATACTAATTAGTTGTTATTTTACATTTTTTAAATGTGCCACTATCCTAGGTTTTGCCCATTAGTCAGTAAGATTTTTTTACTCATTTAAAACACAATAAAATGTAATATGCTCCCTTATTCTTTTATACATTTTAATATGTACAGGTCGGAATAAGCATGTTGTTTAAATTTTTACATAACTATAATTTAATTTTGACATTTTACTCTTCAAAAACTTATTTGAACCCTTAAATGTAGACACTTTACTTGCATTTAATGTGCTTTCTATGGACATAAAATCACTTTTGTAAATTTCTTTTGATGAGGACATCTTAACGTCTTTGACCCACATACACTCTTGTATCTTAGGGCAGCAGCTTGTCACTGTGGCAGCACCATCAAAGACACATTTTTTGTACCTTTTTACCCCTAACAAGTTAATAGTAGTATCTTAAGGGTATATATTACTACTCTAAGGTTCTAATATGTACATTTTATGGGGTAGATATGGTACAAAGCTCTCCTTTTAAGTGTGCTGCCCAGTATTGTTCAGGTGTGTAACAACTTCCTCACACCTCTGGTTAAGCATCTTTCTTAGAAACAACCCATTCTAATGCTACTAAGTTTGAAACACAACCTAGATTGTTATTTTACATTTTTTAAATGTGCCACTATCCTAGGTTTTGCCCATTAGTCAGTAAGATTTTTTTACTCATTTAAAACACAATAAAATGTAATATGCTCCCTTATTCTTTTATACATTTTAATATGTACAGGTCGGAATAAGCATGTTGTTTAAATTTTTACATAACTATAATTTAATTTTGACATTTTACTCTTCAAAAACTTATTTGAACCCTTAAATGTAGACACTTTACTTGCATTTAATGTGCTTTCTATGGACATAAAATCACTTTTGTAAATTTCTTTTGATGAGGACATCTTAACGTCTTTGACCCACATACACTCTTGTATCTTAGGGCAGCAGCTTGTCACTGTGGCAGCACCATCAAAGACACATTTTTTGTACCTTTTTACCCCTAACAAGTTAATAGTAGTATCTTAAGGGTATATATTACTACTCTAAGGTTCTAATATGTACATTTTATGGGGTAGATATGGTACAAAGCTCTCCTTTTAAGTGTGCTGCCCAGTATTGTTCAGGTGTGTAACAACTTCCTCACACCTCTGGTTAAGCATCTTTCTTAGAAACAACCCATTCTAATGCTACTAAGTTTGAAACACAACCTAGAACTGAAACGAACCTGGAACTGTGCAGCTGTGCACAGTGTTAGCTCGCGAAGCTACAAATAACAACTAGACCTTTTTTTAACAAAAGTAGTTAGCTTCGAAGTTACATTACCACTCAGAATGTTTTTAGAACATTATATACTACACTGAACAAAATTATAAACGCAACACTTTTGTTTTTGCCCCCATTTTTCATGAGCTGAACTCAAAGATCTAAGACTTTTTCTATGTACACAAAAGGCCTATTTCTCTCAAATATTGTTCACAAATCTGTCTAAATCTGTGTTAGTGAGCACTTCTCCTTTGCCGAGATAATCCATCCACCTCACAGGTGTGGCATATCAAGATGCTGATTAGACAGCATGATTATTGCACAGGTGTGCCTTCGGCTGGCCACAATAAAACACATCTGTTATATAGTCTTCGGTGCCACATAATCCTTCAGAAATCATTAGAATATGCTGATTTGCTGCTTAAGAAATATTTCTGATTATTATCAATGATGAAAACAGTTGTGCTGCTTCATATTTTGTGGAAATTCTTTGATGAATAGACATTTCAGAAATTTTATTTGAAATAGAATTGTATAACATTATAAATGTCTTTATTGTCACTTTTGATCAATTTAATGCATCCTTGCTGAATAAAAATCTTACTGAGCCCAAACTTTTGGTCGGTAGTGTACAAAACGAACTATTTTGAAGTTGTTTATCTGCATAATTATCAAATTACACCATTAAATGCTTAAAGTAGTGACATTATCTTGAAAGAAACATCTAAAAAGCATCAGTACAAATGTCAGTAGCCTAAATATTTCAGTGTGAGAGTCGTAATGCAACACTGAATCGTTTATGAGACCAGTGAAACCATGCAAGCAAACCGATTGACTGAAATGATTCAGATTTAGTAAGTATGAGGACAGAGTCTCTTTGATTTGTAAAGCTGCATGAGAAATGCAGAGCGATAAATACAATGATTTAGTGTTTTGTCACGCTACACTCCAACTTGTTGGAAAAAGTAGCTTGTTGTATTTTGATTCTCTACTTTGAATAAAACTGATCTACTGTCATGCTACTGAAAAATGCAGTCAATACTAGCTGTGCAGTTCTAGAACATTCAATATTATGCGTGTTCACGTTGCATTGAAATCACCATAATTACAAGATGACAACTCTGAGATAATCACTTCCTTGGACACAGAACCTAAAGCTCCACGTTGAAATGCTTCACATTAATTTAGGTAACACTTTATTTTAAGGTGTCCTTGTTACACACATTACATGTACTTACTATTATAATAATAATTAATTATGCATAATTACATGCAAGTAACCCTAAGCCAAACCCTAACCATATAGTAAGTGCATGTAGTTAATTAATATTACTCAGTACTTAAATGTATAATTACACTGTAACAAGGACACCTTAAAATAAAGTGTAACCTTAATTTACATCTCACAAAGCATTGAAGAAAAAAATCACACCAAGTACCACTGGCTGTAATAAAATATCATATCAAACAGAAATATGTAGAATTTTGATAAAAGAGTACGTGAAATGAGTCTTCTGTAACTTCTATTTACTGTAATTCTGACGTAATATGAAATGCATCTTCAGTCAAAACTCTTGGATCATGTGTCAACCAATCAGAATCAAGCACTCATTTCCTTCAGAGGGTCTTTTGTAATTACCTTTGCATCAAATAAAAATTAACCAAGCAGCAAACCGACCAGATCAAGCTGATTAAAAAACTGTAACGACCATAAAAGATTAGTTCAATCACTCAAGTCCCCTGCTGGTAATTAACCTTAATGAAGGTTATAGGGGATGTTTCAGGGAAGTGGCTTTATTGCTTTAACTGAAAGCGGAGGCCCACTTGCTGAAGCAGTTTGGTGAAAACATGGTTTCTGCGTGAGAGGCGACTGGTAAATGTGGAGTTAATGGCATGTTGGTTTCAATGTTTCAGAACGGCTTTGCTGTGGTTAGGCCACCAGGACATCACGCAGACCCGTCAAACCCCATGTAAGTCTGCCTGTTACATACAGAAGCGCCTCTGTACATCGCTTGAGTTTCTTTAAGAATGTGTGTCTGGTGGTGGAGGCAGGTTCGAGCCTGGCCTGCGTCATGTTTCTATCGATTTTTTGCCTCGCTCTCTTGATCTCTCTTACTATAAAAGTTCTTCAAATAAAAGAAATGCATACAGATAAATTAAAATTAAATAAGTAAAATAGATTATATTAAAATAAAAGAAACAATAATAAGAATAGTGGGTGCTTGTTAATATAGATTGTTATTTTAGAGATACATTATTTTATTTAATTATGAGATATTATCGTTTTGTTAATATTTTGAATTTGATTTGATTTTTATATTTTCTGCCTTAATTTTAGTTTGTTTTAGAAATGTTGTTTTTACAATAAGGTTCCATTTGTTAACATTAGTTAACATAAACTAACAATAAATAATACTTCTAAAGCATTTATTAATCTTAGTGAATGTTTATTCCAACATTTACTAATACATTGTTAAAATCAAAAGTTGTATCTATTAATATTATTTAATGGACCTGAGCTAACATGGACTAACAGTGAACAGTTGTGTTTTTATTAACTAACGTTAACAAAGATTATTAAATACTGTAACAAATGGATCGCTCATTGTTAATGTTAGTTAATGCATTAAATATAGTTAACAAATGGAACCTTATTGTAAAGTATTACCATTTTTGTTGTTTTTAAATATGTCTATATATTTTATATTTTAGTACAAGTTAAACTTTTTTTGTAAACTAAGTTTTTTATATTTTATTTCAGTTAGCATTCTATTTTAAGTTAAAAAAAGTTTTATTTATTTTTTGTTATTATATAATTTTTTTAATTGTTTTAGTTGTGTTAGTTAGCTACAATGACCCTGTATAGAGTATGTTGTCCATGTGAGTTTGGATCTGTTTATTGTGGTCATGAAGTGAGATTCTTCTTCCTGTGCATGTGAGTGATTTTGAGCAGTGTGTTTGTGTGACGTGGGTGTTTGCACATGTGCACTCTGTCACCTCGTGTTCAGTGTGTGCGTGTGTGTGTGTGTGTGTGTGTGTGTGTGTGCAGCGTCAGCATGCCTGTCTGTGTGTGTGGATATTTATGGCTTTATAATGAAGGTTTGGAGGGAGCGGGGGGAAAGACGCTGATTTATTTCAGCAGTTATTAACCTGCTGAGTTTGCTCTTCCCCAATTTCTCAGCATTTCACCTCGCACCCTTACTACCCAGTGCACATCTAATCATCTGCTGGTAGTTTCCACGTGTTTATTATTTGTGTATATGGACAATGTTTAAGTGCTTTTAGATTACCTCAACACATTATAGTTAAAAATCATGTTTCAGTAACAACAGATCTGCACATCCGCTGGTTCAGTTGCGTGAGGAAATTTGTTTGCTTACAACATAGTTGTGTTGTTCTGTTTCCAAATCCTTTGGCATTTAATGTGGTTGAAGGCCTCAGAGTTTGGATCTGTTTATTGTGGTCATGAAGTGAGATTCTTCTTCCTGTGCATGTGAGTGATTTTGAGCAGTGTGTTTGTGTGACGTGGGTGTTTGCACATGTGCACTCTGTCACCTCGCGTTCAGTGTGTGCGTGTGTGTGTGTGTGTGTGTGTGTGTGTGTGTGTGCAGCGTCAGCATGCCTGTCTGTGTGTGTGGATATTTATGGCTTGATAATGAAGGTTTGGAGGGAGCGGGAGGAAAGACGCTGATTTATTTCAGCAGTTATTAACCTGCTGAGTTCGCTCTTCCCAAATTTCTCAGCATTTCACCTCGCACCCTTACTACCCAGTGCACATCTAATCATCTGCTGGTAGTTTCCACGTGTTTATTATTTGTGTATATGGACAATGTTTAAGTGCTTTTAGATTACCTCAACACATTATAGTTAAAAATCATGTTTCAGTAACAACAGATCTGCACATCCGCTGGTTCAGTTGCGTGAGGAAATTTGTTTGCTTACAACATAGTTGTGTTGTTCTGTTTCCAAATCCTTTGGCATTTAATGTGGTTGAAGGCCTCACTTTATCTCTTTCTCTCTCTCAGGGGTTTTTGTTTCTTCAACTCAGTGGCGATCGCTGCTAAGCAGCTCCAGCAGAAGCTCAGCGCCAGTAAAATCCTCATCGTTGATTGGGTGAGAGCTCTTAATTCAGCCAATGTTCGTTCTAGGGATGCAAATTCTGGATGAAACCAATAAGCACATAATTAGTTTCATGTTATGGCCAATAAATGATATGATGGCTGATATTGGAAATCCATTCTATTATGTTTGTTCCCTGTTATACAAATTAAAACAATAAAACTGCTATCAAGAGTTTATTAGTAAATTCAGGCATCACAACAGCGTAATGTACTGTGTGACAATTGAAAACAGTTTATTTCAATTAAATATCCAGTAGTTGAGGATTACTTACAGTATATCTGTTATATTATATATTATATAGATTTTATATATATATAAAATTGGCTATCAATGCTACACTGTAAAAAAAAAAAAAAAAATCTGGTTGCCAGAATAATTTTGTAAAAAATACAGAAAATCTGTAAAAATATTTACAGATCAAACTAATTTGCAAACAAGAAATTGTGAGTGTAAACTAGTAAATTCAACAATGCACACTGCTACTAAAATCTGTTTTGTATCTTTAACATAAACTGACAACCACCATAATAATGCAGGTGGTAAAAGAGACAGCAATATGAAGAATCAGTTTATATGTTGATTTGTTCTTTGTTACTTCTAAAAATTTTACAATTAACAGCATTTTACTGTATTTTAAATTACATGAAATGTCTGGTTAGATATTTTACAGTTTTTCCCCTGTATATATTATAGGAACTTACTGTTAACCATACCGTCTTTACAATATTTTACAGTTAAAATGACACTCATTTTTTTACAGTGTAGATGATTTCTGCAAAAATTCTAGTTAATCTGGGATATTTGTGTGAAGCTTGTTTCAACATATTGTAAAACAATGACTCGATTTTAACTGATTTGAATCTGTGTTACCAAACTGTATTGGATAACAAGCTAAATTGATTGAGTTTATCAGTCATTGAATCAAATCACCTCCAGATTTTGGTCTTTTTTCGTCTTAATAGACCAGAAACAAAGGTAATGCTAATGTTGACTGAACAACAACCAAAATGTGACCATTAAACATCTTAGTGTTAGCTTAGTGGTCCTTTATGCACTGAATGCAAATGATAATGTAACCTGACTATGTTTCATCAATCATTCAGGATGTTCATCATGGCAACGGCACCCAGGAAATCTTCTACAATGACCCCAGCGTCCTCTACATCTCTCTCCATCGCTATGATAATGGAAACTTCTTCCCTGGGAGTGGTGGACCGGCAGAGGTTAGTACGCAGAGGTTATCGATTATACCATAGCAAACACATCACTCTTTGGTTTGTCTTTTACTGTGAAACACTATAAGCTCACAGAAGCCTCTTAGACTCAAGGGGTTTCAATGTGTCACACTTGCGCAACTGTGTTTCAAACCAGAACTAGTTGCATCATGGCCTTTAGCACAAAAGGATCACAGTGAGTGGAGGGTTTTCAGTGTTTAACAGCAGTGCCGTGTTTGATTTGTCGCAGGTGGGTTCTGGTGCCGGTGAGGGTTTCAACGTTAATGTGGCATGGACCGGTGGTCTGGAACCTCCCATGGGCGATGCTGAGTACCTGGCTGCCTTCAGGTATTAGTTTCACTTGGTTCATTTGCTGATTTAAACTAACTCAGGGGAACACTTGAATATGGACAGCATTGCCTGGAAACGAGGGGTGTTCAATCCTGCTCCTGCAGGGGCAAGATAGCTCCAACCAGCTCCTGCACAATTGTCTGAAGGTTTCTGAAGACCTTGAGTGGTGTGTTTAATTAGGGCTAGAGCTAAACTCTACAGGACAGCGGCCCTCCAGGAGCAGGACAGGACACCCTTGTTATTAATATATGGATCCATTTTCACATAAATAAATGTATTTGGTCTCATAATAAGTGAAGACATTGGAAGATACCATGATTATTTAATGCGATGAATTTGCTGACTGAAGGGTTTGGGTTAGGTCCAGTAATATCATACAAGTCTGTGATGCACCAAAAATATTCAGCCAAACAGCAAAAAAACAAAAATTTGGTTTCAGTAGAAATAGCTTTTTGGAGGGCCGAAACCATTGACCCAAATTGTATCGTTTAATGAGCATGTTTTGGCTGTGTCAGCATCTGTTTTATGCACAAAACATGGATAAGCTACAAGAAGTAAACATGTCAGCAGTGTGGACACACTTCACCGTGACCAAAACTGATGTTAGAGTAGCAATATGTAACATTTTCTTTGGCTGAAATATCACTTGTTGCCGAAGAACTTTAGTATAACAGGAGCCAGTTGCATAAACATAGCTGCCATGTTAAGATGATGCCTTAAATGGATAGTTCACCCAAAAATTTAAATTCCCCCATGATTTACTCACCCTCAAGCCATCCTGGGTGTTTATAACTTTCTCCTTTCAGACGAATACAGTCGGAGTTATATTAAAAAATGTCCTGGCTCTTCCAAGCTTTATAATGGCAGTGAATTGGTGTTGAGATTTTGAAGCGCAATAAAGTGCATCCATCCCTCATAAAAGTGCTCCACACGGATCTGGGGTGTTAATAAAGGCCTTCTGAAGTGAATCGATGCATTTTTGTAAGAAGAATATCCTTATTTAAAACTTTCTAACTGTTGTACGTGTGTTCACGAGAGAGTGGCGTTCCGGCAGATGACGTAGACGTAAGTAGCAGACGACAAAAAACTACAGCCCATGCTTAAAATAAACAAAACGTTATCGTGCCTTGGTCTGGACACTAATATAATGTTAGTTATCTTTATAGTTATCAATCTTGGTATGAACAGGCCTTAACTATGACAAATCAAACCGGTTTAGACTAATCACCTGAGGAAACAACTCCCTGAACATCAAACCAAGATTAATTACCCAGTTACTAAAATTTTATTACCCAAACTTCAATTTCAGCTTCAGTTTCGGATTTTGGCTAAATGAAAACTTTAATTTTGGTTTCAGTGTTTCTAATAAAACATTCTGCATATCCGTTATGGTCTTGTTAGTTTCCACACCTCATTTCGCAGGCTAATAATTTAGCATTAATCCTTATAGTCTGTGGTGTGCTAGTATTTCGTACCGATAACTGAAAACGCTGTCTTTTGAGTAAGCTGTTAAGTGTCAAGAGCACAATGATGTTGGCGAACCCAGCGCCTCTTCTATTCAAGGATTGTCCGTGGTCCAGATGTTTAACCACAACCCCACCACCGTCCACTTTATATGTCTTGTAAAGTCTTTACATTGGATGATCATCATCAGGTCAGCGTTCAGGAAGAAGCGTTTGACCTTCCGTCATCAGTCTCGCCAAAGAACCAGGTCCTCTTCATATGGGCGTTCTTCATGATTGCATTAGTTTCTCTCCTTTGTTCTTTGGGACCTTTGGGATTTTGTCAAGAATTAGACGCCCGATCATATTGTGATCACTGTTTTAAGTTGCACTTCCCCCTGTGTCGTCTGCCAACCTGCATCAGTCAAGGTGTTTATTGTAGTCTGAAACGCTTGCAGGGCTTCAAATGATTCCCAGCTTTTTCATTGTGTTGGGATCAAACTCAAGCTTGGCCACTTCCACATGCCACTTAATTGCCGCCGGTGGGTGGTTTTATTAAAAGTTTTTAGCATTTTTGAAGGCAGCCTGCTTCGGGTTTTTGGTTTCGGTCCAGGGAGGCACTGCTAACCACATGCTAACCAGGATCCCTGTGTGAAAGTGGGTGGGCGTCTAAAAAGACCTTTAAGATCTCTCAGGACTGAACGTTTTGGGAATGTTCTGCCTCTAACCAGCCTGTCTCTCCTTGACTTCCTGTGTCTTGTACACTCTTTCTCGTCCATTTATTGGTCTTTAATGAATGCTGCACTCTCTCTCTCTTTACCTCCACCCAAACTAAAACTGTTCCTCTCCACACAGGGGAGCGTGGGTAGTTTTATTGGTCTAGAGGGGAATTAATGAGTGTACAACATACAGAACTACCAAATTTTGCTATAAGTTTGATAGTCTTCGTTAACGAAATTAACACTAATGCAATGACGATAAATGTTCGTTGACGAGCTTTTTTCCCATGACTAAAGGCCCATTCACACCAAAGGCAATAACTATAAAGATAACAATAAAGATATAGTTCTATAAATCATTCTCAATATCAAAGAATGGCAGAGTCCACACCACAACTATAATGATACTTTTGGAATCACTTCCAAAATGATTTTTCTCCAGCTGATAAACGATATAAACATTGACAGCCAGTCAGAATCCATCCTGCTGTAACGAGCTCGTGAATTTAAAGCGGCAGACGCGCGTGCGCTTAGAATAAACAGACGATATCGTTCGCTGGTGTGGACGCTAATATCGTTATCTTTATAGTTATCTTTATAGTTATCGTTCTTTTCTTATCGACTAAAATACTTCAGGTTTACTTCGACTGAAACTAGACTAAAATACTTCAGGTTTTCTTCGACTAAAACTGGACTAAAATACTTAAGGTTTACTTTGACTGAAACTAAACTAAAATATTTCAGGTTTTCTTCGACTGAAACTAGACTAAAATACTTCAGGTTTTCTTCGACTGAAACTAGACTAAAATACTTTTTTAAAGTGAAGCAAAAAAACAGTTGCATTCATGTCAAGTTCAGTTACATTCTACCTGCATTCCCAGCATGAAGGCTGTAAACTTGAATACTTCGAGATGCTTATTTGTACTGATTCTGTGTATTTGATTTAATGCCTCATGTTTTTGAAGGCCAGAGGGACAAACCAGCTATTAGCAAGTTTATTGCACACACCCACCCACACCCAAAAAAACACACATATACGCCCATCTTTCTGAGCACACGTCGCGTCAATATGACCACTGTACATTAAAAAGTCATAATTATGAGATATAAACTCGCAATTCTGAGAACATATCAGTCCCCCCCACCCCTCAAAATTAGACTTTAACTTGCAATAGCGAGTTTAAAAAGTTAGAATTGCGAGTTATAAAGAGATATTTAATAAAAATATTAAGACACAATTGCGAGATAATAACTCGCAATTCTGACTTTATAACACAATTGCGAGTTTATATCTCGCAATTCTGACTTTATAACACAATTGCGAGTTTGTATCACGCAATTCTGACTTTATAACACAATTGCGAGTTTATATCACGCAATTCTGACTTTATAACACAGTTGCGAGTTTGTATCACGCAATTCTGACTTTATAACACAGTTGCGAGTTTGTATCACGCAATTCTGACTTTATAACACAGTTGCGAGTTTGTATCACGCAATTCTGACTTTATAACACAGTTGCGAGTTTGTATCACGCAATTCTGACTTTATAACACAATTGCGAGATTATATCTCGCAATTCTGACTTTATAACACAATTGCGAGTTTGTATCACGCAATTCTGACTTTATAACACAATTGCGAGTTTGTATCTCGCAATTCTGACTTTATAACACAGTTGCGAGTTTATATCTCGCAATTCTGACTATAACACAATTGTGAGTTTGTATCTCGCAATTCTGACTTTATAACACAATTGCGAGTTTGTATCTCGCAATTCTGACTATAACACAATTGCGAGTTTGTATCTCGCAATTCTGACTTTATAACACAATTGCGAGTTTGTATCTCGCAATTCTGACTATAACACAATTGCGAGTTTGTATCACGCAATTCTGACTTTATAACACAATTGCGAGTTTGTATGCGAGATATGAACTCACAATTACGTGTTATAAAGTCAGAATTGCGAGTTTTTATCTCGCAACTGTGTCTCTTTATATTTTTATAAAATATCTCTTTATAACTTGCAATTGTGACTTTATAACACGTAATTGTGACTTTATATCTCACAATTCTGTGAAAAAAAGTCCGAATTGTGAGATAAAATGTCACAATAACCTTTTTTTTTTTCAGTGGCGGAAACGGGCTTCCATATAAAACTGTTGGAAATTGCCACAAAAAAAAGCTTACTTTAAAAACATCGTATACTGTTTAAAGATGCCTTTTTTTACATTATGGTGCCATGATAAATGTAATTTTCAGGTGTGTCATGCATCTATTGAAGCATCTAAGAATGAACCATTACAATTATGTATTGCACATGCACACAACTAAAGAAATCTGAAATACTTGATTAATGACTGGCCTGAAGCCACTAGATCGTCCGTACTGGTCAGTGGTCCATCTGGTCACTGGCTTCTTCTATTGTAACAAGTTTAGGCTTCTGCTTTAGTTTTAGTTTGGGCCACTGTGGCCGTGTGTTTTGCACTTTGCTTCAAACATACGTCTTGTAATTGCCTTACCTAATTACAAGTACTAAACAACAGAATGTGGCACTTTTGTGGTGAGGCAGTCTGTCTTATTTCTTGCCAAGCAGACATATATTTATTGAAGCCTCAAACTAAAAAGGATTATGCTAAGTTTATGTGCAGACCAAGTTTAGCCAACATTTTATTCTAATTAAGTAATTAGTGCTGTCTGTCTGGATCCTAAAGAACTCGTACGAGCAGAACAAGAACACCTTGATCTATCGCTTCAAACTTTTTAGATTCATATCTGGGGGGTTTTGTCCTTTACATTTCTCATTTGTTAAATGATTCATTTTTCTTCAAAAGTATTTATTGCACTAAAAGTCAGAAACATGCTTGTTATAAATTAACTCTCATAACTCTAGCGTAATGCATTTGCTATTCACCAAGTCGTCATATTGCAGAATTAATCTTACAGCTTTATTTTTTTAAAAGGTGTAACAACCTTTATGCATTTAGACGGATGTGGTATATACCATGACACGATTGTTACACTGTCACAGAAGCAATAATGGTGGCTAATATACAGCATAAATGACAAGCACATCGACTCTGAAATGATCAGATCTGTATATCAGGGAATATAGTGAGTCTACGTAGCGTTTTTCCATCAGGCTAAGGTTAGCTATACATGTAGAGTCCTTATGACAGTCAATGTCTGCCTCTGTGTGTCCATACAAAGTCAAAGTCAATGAACGCTGATCTCAAATCAGCACTCTGCCACACAGTCAGAGTGACTTCCAGAGTTTGATTCAGAGTCATGTGGAATTGCCTGAGCAATCTTAGTTTAGACACCGCTGGTGTCCATTCCTTTAGATGGTGGAGGGTCATTTTTTTGCATTTTGTTGTATTGCTTCATTAGGAGAAGGGAAATATTGATGGCTTGTGGTTGAAGCATGATGTCCTCTGGGGTAGTGGGATACTGTTGAGAAAGACAGAAGGGAAGAACATGTCAGAAATGATCGAAATGACTAGGTAATACATTTATACAAGTATATTGTAATTTGAATGTATATGGGTTGTTCAATGTCTTGCAGTACAATATACTGTATACTCCATTTACAATGATTTAAACAACATTTTGCATGTCTTATATTTTTATAATTGTTATGCATGCAGCTTTTGTGACCTAAAAATAATTTAAAAAATGCATGGATTATTTTACACTTTTAAAAAAGTCATTTGTCACACCATAATACCATTGGAAAATGGACTAGTGAAGGTTTGGATTAAAGGCAAACATTGGAGAAAACATTGAGGAGAGGAAGTATTTCATGTTAGCATCTGGATTGCTTAATAAACAGCTTCATTTAAATAGTCCAATCAGTTTGCTGGAATCTGCATGTCATCACAGCCTAAAGCAAAGGGAATCATTCCCATGAGCACCGGCAAACTCGTTGACTCATCTTGTATAAACGAAGGACATTGCTAAAGCAATACAGTATGTGGTGGATATGACTAGTCCAAGGAAACCACAACCCAAAATAAATCCTGACAAAGAGCCGTAGTTACTCTGTTTCCATTAACAGCACACTTTTTCCCCCCCACAAATCAGCCAATCAAGACTGGGTGACTAAAAAAACAATACATGAAGATGCCATTTTAATTGATTTCGCTTATGATAATTGCCAGGACTGGTTCATAAAAACGGTTCAAAGTTAAAGGATCTTTGAAGATGTTTTTTGTGATTTTGGTTGTGGCTAAAAGCTTTATAATGGGTTCATTTTCTACGTTTTTTTTTTTTTAAAGCATGTACAATTTATTGCTAATATTGTTGCATTTAAATGCAGAATGTAAGAAATTGCTCCACGGAAAAACTGTTAAATTGTCAGTTCTATTGGTGCCACATCCCTTGCCTGTTCTTTTGTTAAGTATTTAAGTTTATTTGATTACAACGACAGCTAGAGTTTCTAACCGTGAGATTCTGCACATTTTCTCCCGAACTCGGTGCAGAGATGTGAAAAATGTGTACAGATTTAGTCTGGACCTGGGTGCAACTAACTGCTGGCACACTGTTGCAGAACATCTTTGTTTCAGTTGGGTTTACAGGGGAATTGCACCATCTGAAAACTACGCAATGCCAGCTAAATATTTCCCTACTCGATAGCATCGGTAAGTCACACGTTCACTAAAATCTTCCTCTTCATATATGCTAACATCAAACTTATATATATCATCACACTGAATTAGTGTGTATTTGTGTGTGTTGCATGCCGTGCATCTCTCATACACACACACCTAACACTCCACAACTGTTTCCAATCATTAGGTTCCTGCATGTCTAGGGCCGGTCGCCTCTGATTGCACGACACTGGATACGAGATCCCGTGAAGGGCAGAGGGAGGGCGATTTACACCCGTGGGCTAAAGGAGAGTCCTCTCCACCTTTCCCTGCTTCCTGTTCACTCACTTTTCTTTCCCTTTAATGATTTTTTCTTTGTTCCCTGTTATCTTTAATAGCAACACATGGCCTCTGGTTCTCAGTCTGAGAGCTTAGTGGAAAATAATGTGGAATCTATGGAATAAGTACTCATTTATATTAAATACATATTAATTACATAGTTATTACTTATGTACTAACATATAATTAGTTTAGTTATAAATGTAGTTATAAATCTAGAAATATATGCTTGGCCAGTGCAAAATTATGCAGACAATAACTTTATAAAAATGTCTTGTGTTTTTCTTTTTCTTTTTAATACTTACATGCAGTATTTAAATTTATTTGTGGTTAAGGCAATACATATGAAATCAAAAGAAGAGGCTACACCAGTAGGCCTGTGTATACGATAACCTCAATAGCGGAATATCACAAGCTGAAAGTAATGTTTAGGTAAACCTGACAAGTAAGTTTTTTACAATAAACATGGATCACATGACATGAATAAATGTGTCTATGGGAATAAGAATAAAATCTGTTTTTCTGCAAAGACATGTGTAAGTGGGAATTCCAGAATCTTGGAATTAAAGAGGAGTTTCGAATTCATGCTGTATTCTCAAAATGGCTAATATCTCACAGATTCTTGAGACAGCATGTTTTTATGCACCCAATTTGGTTACCCTTTATTTCGATAGTCCACTTTAGACATTCTACTAACTTTAAGGAACTTTGCAACTGCATATCAACTAACTCTCATTAGAGCATTTGTAGACTGTTAGGTTAGGGTTAGTAGAATAAGTTGCCGTACTTGCAAAGTTACTTATAGTCAGTAGAACGTCTGTTGAGTGACCATCAAAATAAAGTGTTAGATATTAAGTGGGCAGTCTACTAATATTCTAATGACTGCTAGTTGACATGTAGTTGCAAAGTTCTTTATAGGTAGTTGAATGTCTAAAGTGGACTATCAAAATAAAGTGTTACCCTTAAGTTTCATACTATTAACCTGGGGTTGAAATCAATATTATTATTGTTTTGTTTTTATTCATTTAATCCAATTGACAGATGTTTGAAGTTATGAATTCCTATTGCTGAAAACCTATTCCTTTTTGGACAAATCTGAAATTGTTAGCATTTAGTCCATTTGAAATGAGTACAACATTTAGAACAGATTACTGGTGCAAAGAATTGTTATACGGAAAATAAAGTCATTAATATCCAGCACATTGTAAAAATGTCCTCCCTCAGACAGTTATCGTAAAAGTAATCTGTGTCTTGTCTATGTAGTTTTTTTCCTTTGTTAATGATTTGTAAACCAATTTCCAAGAACAAACAACCTATATATATATATATATATATATATACAAACAATTTGCTTCCAATGCCTGCAGATCTTTAACCAGTCTATTATGAGTCTATAAGTCTATTATACAGTCAAGATAAAAACTAGCACAATTCTTGGAATTTTATCCATTATCCAGCATTGAACAAACGTTTCATTTAAATATCTGCCTTTTTGTGTCATTCTATTTAATTTGCCGTGTAAATTTGATTCTGAAACAGGTTAACTGTTCATTAGACCAATAGCATCAGTTCAGCGGGCCAGAGCTACTCCAGCTGGTTAAAGGTCTAGCCACAAAAACAGATTCTGTTCCAGCGCTACCCAAGCCACAGTACTTGCCAGGAGGCAGTTACAACAAACCCTGAAGAAAACCGTTAGTGACAATACCCTCACAATTATCATTTATTACAATTAAAGTTAGTATATTATTAAAATTTGGGATGTTTGTTGTAACTGGGCGCAGAGCTCCCCCGATCATCACCATTTAATACAGCATACAGTACAGTATAAATTTATACTAATATATGTGCACTCTACACTGATCGTTATGATGTATGTAATAAACCCAACAAGTGCAAGTCCATAATCAATGAGCAAGTCATTTTCTAATTTGTGGTAGAGAAGCATGAGCTTGCAGATTAACAACTCAGGCTAAAGCAAATCCATGTGTTCATTTCATTTATAACACGTCATTCTGCTGACTCGAGGTCTGACATACCTGTAGAGGTTTGCTCTGAGAAAAAGCGAAAAGATCGGTGTTGGATGGTCAGAGGTCAGCTTTAGGCAGGGTCAGGTCATGGCAGCAGGAGTCAAATGGCGGTTGCTGGTGAAGCTGAAGCTGTAGCTAGTAGACAGACAGCGATAGATTTAATAGTCAGAGTCACTTTCTCTCAGGCACAATGTAGGTTCACAGTTCAGAGGGTGGTTGGAGTTTCGTAGGGCTGTAGGGTCGGCAGGTAGGATCAGGAACGGGTGAACGTCTAGTGAGTGGCGGACATGGACCAAGCGCCCTCCATCCTCCATACGGAGAAGGCGTAGCTCAGTCTTTCGTGGGCCAGGTAGTTACAGCTGGCCAGCTTGGCATCCATCTCATCGCTCTGGAGAACCTGGTAGAGAAAGTCGATGTATCTCGAAGCCAGTTTGAGGATCTGAATCTTGCTCAGTTTGTCTGAAGGCAACGTGGGGATGATCTTCCGCAGCGAGGCGAAAGCGTCGTTTAGGGACTGCGTGCGCTGCCGTTCCCGGACGTTAGCGATCCCCCGTTGCGTGTGGAGGTCCTCGAACGGTTGCCCGGGCACAGGTGACACCGAGCTCACGATGGGCACTAGGGAGGTCGAAGAGGTTGATGAGGAAGGAGGAGAACTCCTCTTGGGCCGCTTGGGGCAAGAGGGAGTGAGCGTTGAGGGGCCCTTCAGTGACGTTTTGTTGTCCTGTGTTAGGGGTCCACCAGGCTCTTTCTTGGGACCTGTCAGCCGCTTTCGAGCAGCCGTCGGTGGCGCAACAACGACGGGGCACTTGTTAGTGCGACGTTCTTGCTCCTCTTCACTGGGTAGGACCCCACCCTCGGGAAAATCGCCACAAGACTGTTCCTCTCGCATGACGGTCAGTCGTCCTTGTCAGTCCCGTGCTTTTATCCTATTTCGCTTTGTTTGTGGCACGGTTCTTTGCCTTGGACTGAGAATGATTTTAATGGAAAGCAAAACAAATCAAAGCAAAAAGGTGCTTTTTCCGAACTCAAGAAGGTGCCAGATTACACGGCCGTTCATCTGGGTTCGTAAAAAATCTCCTCAGTCTCCTCAGTACGTCATGTAGCTGTGGGTCAGTTCTTGAAACCTCAAAATCACTATCTGGTTGTCAGGTCTTTTATAAAGGCCAGTGGCTAAGTCTTCCAAAGCCCTACCTACTTTGATCAGCGATTGGTTAAGAGGTGGATAGGTTGAGGGGTGGAGCCGGCTCAAAGGAAACAGGAAGGCGATGTACGTCGCGATTGGAGGATAGAGCCAGAGGGAGGGGGCGCAATCCAAGGTAGCGGCAAAGACTCTGCTGTAGAGTTTTCTTGAGATTGTCTGAAGCATATTGGTTCCAGATTTCTCCCAAAACAAGCCTTTGGTCCATACACACCCCCTCCACCACTCCAAAACCCCACACCTCCTCTTTTTTCCCCCCGCACAGACCAAGACAGACAATAGGAAGCAGCTGAGAAGCAGGCTTGCTGTTTTGCATGCTGTTTCATGCTCTCTCTGTTGGCTTTATGGCATGGCGAGGTTTTCAAGGGTAAACTGAACTTTATTTCGAACACCACGAACTGAACATCACTGAGTGTCTACATGTGTCATGTGTGTCTATGTTAACAAGGACATTTCTCTGTCTTGTACTTGCATTTATGTGCATTTAAAAGTGGGACTGTGAGTGAGTTTTTATATATTGTTGATTGTGTCAAATTGATCTCTCTGTGTGTGTGTGTGTGTGTGTGTGTGTGTGTGTGTGTGTGTGTGTGTGCGCACGTTTTTGTGACAAATGAGGACATCAATTTGTATAATGACAAAGGTATGAAGGTATGAACAAGGAGAAGGTGACTTTTCAGGACATTACCCCATGTCCCCACTTTTCAAAACGCTTATAAATCACACAGAATGGAGTGTATTGAAAATCTGAAATAGCACAAAGTCTCCTGTGAGGGGTAGGTTTAGGGGTAGGGTTGGTGTAGGGCAATAGAATATACGGTCTGTACAGTATAAAAACCATTACGCCTATGGAGAGAGAGATACTATACAGCATACAATACCTTCGACTTGTATATTTCAGATATGCCATGGTGGACACAATTTTCAGTCACAAATATTCATCCCTTGTGCTGTGCTGAAACTTCTTTACCTAGTTTGGATTTCCTGGTCAAAACTGAGCGGGCTTTTAAAAATTGCTTGTATAATCATGCTATCTGTTTTTTTCCAAATCTTGGATGCAATCTATTTGTCAGCTTGTTTTCTTTCAATTAGCACATGTTTTGTATTTCTTTTTGGAACTAGTTGATTGTAGGTCTCATTGATCTGAGCTTATACGCCTCAGTTTTTGAGTGAAAAAAGCAGGGATGCACGATATTGGATTTTTGCCGACATCCGATATGCCAATATTTTTCAACTCATTTTGGCTGATAGCCTCCTGTGCAGCGATTACAAACAAATTATAATTTTTTTTTGTTTTTATTCAGCTTTGGGTGAATGTAATAATTGCTTATTTTTACATTTATTTTTTGGCTTTTTTGCCAGTTAATTTTATATTACAATAGTAGAGGACAAGATATATTGGGAAAAGAGGAAAAAGGAATAAGCAATGGGACAAATCGATTATTGACGTTGCTAATATGGGCACCATGTCTTAAAGCTTGTGCTCTAACTGACAGGCCATGACTCTAATATCCTTTATTTGTGAAAGATATTCACATTTATAGATGATTTTTTTAAATACCATTGAACCCATTCCACACTGCTCCATTTTGTCACAAAGAGTTGGAGGCACTTTCACTGGCATTTTAGCTTGTTTAGATTTGCACCATGGTGGTCCCTGTCAAAATCAGCCTCCGGAGCAAAGCCGATCACATGTCCTTCCCACACCACGCACCTGCGTCTGATCAAGACATTTATACACCACAACGTCACCGAAACTCTCTGACAGGAAATAAACAGCTTAGGGGTACCAGAGTTATGGAGAAACTATACGACGGTTGATATAAACAATGGTGCGCTGCGAGAGTATTGGACAGGAGTGGATTAGAATTGGGTCAGCGATAGTGACACAGGATCCCCTGGTGAACGTGGTACTGGGATCCACAAGACTCTTGAGTCTGAGCAAATCTCTGGCATGAATATGAAGACCAGGGCAGACTGAGGAATGGTAGCATGTGTACACGGCACAATATGGGCACAGTATCTAAAACCTTACCCAATGTTACTGGTGATTACTGTTTCCTGTTTGTGTGTTATTTCTTATACACTGTGCAGCACTTTGGTAATCTTTGGTTGTTTTTACATGTGCTATATAAATAAACTTTGTATTGTATTGTATTGCATTGCATTGCATTGTATGGGCCAAAATATTTGTAATGTTGTACACTGACACAATATAAACTTATGTCTCCAAAAGGAGAGTGTTTTAAAATATGTATGTATGTATGTATGTATGTCTATTCATTTGTTCCAAACTACATTCAAATTCAATTCCTGTATAAAAATTAATTTTGGTACTTTTTTGGGGAGGCATAAAGTTAAAAATGTCAGGGTGATACAACTGTCCAAATATTATACAGAAGAATCATTAAAATAATGGCATTCTAGATTAGAAAATGTAATTCTTACTTAAGTACAAAAATCAATTCATATTTTGTTTAAATTCATTAATTCAAAAATTAATTCTTAAGTAGATGTGGCATGATATGTTATTATTATTATTTTTTTAAATCAGGCAGTTGTTTTTATGTGGTTTAATCAAGATGCAGTATATCTATTAATAATTAATTATATTTGTTTAAAAAAATTACCTTGAAAAAAAAAACTATATATATATTTATAAATAATAATAATGATAGGTAATAATTAAGATGTGTGCACATGTATTCAAGGTGTAAGGAAAGCATGAATTTTTACTTGGTTACACCACATTTTGCTCTTGAAAATGACATAAAAGTTTTTAAAAACCATATGAAACCAACAAAAAATATTTTTGGATATTTTAAACTAAACTTGTAAAGCCTTCATGCATTTCTCTGTGCAGTCTTCCACATGCGCAAATGCATGCCAACCCTGAAGCACACACATATAAGACATCAACCAGTGAATATACTGCAAGAGAATACATGATGCTACACACAGGCCCAGGAGGAAAGAGAAACATGAAAGAGAGCGCAGGAAAAAGTTGGAGAGACGATTGTGAAACCGAGAATCTGTGGCAGGTTTGGTTTTCTTAGACCTCTCACCTTGCGTGCTACCACGTTGTTGCCTCAGTAACGTGGAGGAATTTCTGACGGGGGGAAAAACAAAAGGCCCGCTCTCAGAAAAGAAGAAAAAATGACTGAGAGGCCGAGAAAAAAAGCAAAGCACTGGTCAAACAGAACCATATGGGAGAGTGTGGGGCTGGCTTTGATCTTGGCCCACCGCCTGATTGATGCTGCGCATTTCATTTCCTCGTCAAGGCCGTGACATAATGTTTCACTAACACTCGAGACCCCTCGCTCTTCTCTTTCCTCATCTCGATCCCCTCGTGTTGCCACCTCACCGCCGAACCGGGGGACGAAAACGTTCGTGCCTTGCTAAACAACATGTCTGTCAACACGGTAAAACATTCTGGGCTTTGCAACGACCGTCAGACGATCTGGTACACGAACGATTCGATGCACGAACTGGGATGAGTCTTTCCATATCTGAAGGTGGACATCTGCGAGACTTGCTTGATACGGCTGCGATGACCTCACTGTTGCTAGCGTGTGGAAAAAGCCGTGTCATAGATGAAAGACCACTGCAATCTGTGTTTGTGAGTTTGTTGCTACTACAATGACAATGCAGACATAACAAATGTCCTTGTTAAGCCTCTATAAATTAACGCTGGTTTTAGAACATAATGGGATCAGATGAAGGTGCCAAACACTTGCAACGGCTTCAAAAATATCATTGCAGAGCCTTTGGCTTCATCATCTTTTTTTTCATTTTCGAGCAGTGATCTAGCTGCGAGTCGCGAATCAAAATAGACATGTTTTTGAAGATACCTTGGAAGGTGTCCAAGATATCCACATATGTTTCGAGAGATTTGACTGAAAAGAAACATCGGTCACGCTTTAGTTTGGGGACTATTACGGTAACTACAGCTTTTCCCTTTTGCTGCTTATTAATAGTTAGTAAGGTAGTTATTAAGTTTAGGTATTGGGTGGATTCAGGGATCTAAAATATGGTCAGAATATGTGCTTCATACGTACTAATAAACAGCTAATATGCTAGTTCTATGCATGCTAATAAGCAACTAGTTAATGTGAGAATTGGTACTAAAGTGCTACCGAAACATCATATCGTTGTGTCCCGTTTAGCTACAATTGAAGTTTTAGTTAAAGAGCCTTTGTAAAAAAAATGACTAGTGTGGACCAGCACCATCAGAAATGCATAAACATGCATCTGATTTCTGTTTCCGTAAGCGGAGTATGAGCAGATTAATTGAACCTTTATGTTTTCGATCGAAATTAGGTTTTTCTTGCGCAATGAAGGTGGGTTATGACACACTGCTGTCCGTTTTTCTTGTCCTCCCTCAAGACTGACCTTCGCTCACCTCCCTCTCCAGAGCTCTGGGTCACCTCCACAACATCTGGGAGCCATTTCCTTCCCAAAGGACTCACTTCCTGTGGGCAGCCGCTTAACATGGAGGTGTTTCTGTAAGAGGTCATGGTGGGATCATCGAAAAGGTGAGACTGATCCAGTTCCAGGTCATGAGAAATCTACATCTGACCTCTAAGGCAAGACAAAAAGAAAGGTTTATTTAAAGGCAAAAGTCCAAAAATGAAAATCCCATCATTATTTACTCAGCCTCATGTCATTCCAAAGCTGTTTGCTGTTATTTTGTCTGTGGAAAGTTTGAAGAATCTTAACAGAACCTTTCTTTTTTTTTGTCAAACTCTAAAATAAATCACCTAAGAACATTATGCATGAATAATGCTTAGTGTAAAAGCATTTAGTTGTTTCTAAATTCAAAAACAAGTTTGCATAATTTGTGAACATGCACGAAATTGCATGAAATTTATGAACATTTATGAACTGAAATATCCGAACACAAACCCTGATTCTGACCTCATATATTCTAAAAACAGCTTAAATATTAGTCGAAATGCCAAAGGCATCATTAACTTGATCTTCATTAGCTGACCAAACATCAAAATAAAGCAAAGTCCCAAGGCACAGACAAAGCTTTAAAGATCTAAACACAACTGTAAATTCTGATGGTTATTGCATAAATAGCTTTTGGCTTTTGTTCCGCACACGCGGAATTTCCTTAAATTCGTTTTGAAGCTGCGTCTCCAAAGGACCTTTTAATGTCAGCATGGGCATCTGGTTTCTGCTCGATTCAAGATGGGTTCTTTTCATTCATGTCTTATGTAAATGCTATTGAACAAAAAATAACCGCCAGGCTGGAGGATTCTTCCAATAACCCCATCACACCATATGCCTGCTCTCATCTTTACTGCTCTTAATTCACATCACTAATGCATCGCTTGAACCTTGCAGCAATAAGCATGACTGTGAACATAAACAGATTTATCAGCTAGCATAAGGAAGACTTGTTTTTACCATAGATAAGCAGAGGAATCATTTACATTAAAAAAAATTGTTCTCCTGGATTTATTAAGACATAATATTGTATATTTTTAAAACTGCAGTTTGCAAATCACATTTTTTCTTAATGTATGCAATGGAACTAGCACTAATTTTTAATACCTACCGAACAAATCTGATGTCCCCAAAATAGGGCTGTCAATTTAATGTTCATTTACAGTGATTAATTATATTTAACACATACACAAACATTAAAATGAGCAAAATTAATCATGTCAACTGACCCTGAAAACTTCATGAGGAATTCCACTATTTCTTAAAAATGTTCCACTCATGCTGCCGGTTGTAAAAAAAAACAGTGAGATGCGATGCAACAGATATCAGTTTGAGAAAATATATATAGATAAATCAATACATGCCTCAACTCATGTACTCGCCCTCGTGTTGCTCCAAACCTATATTGCTTTCATTCTTCTGTGGAACATAAAAGCAGATCATTTGAGAAATGTCTTGGTGATTTTGTCCAAATCAATAGTAACCAAAACCGTTTGATTACCAACATCAATCAAAATATCTTCTTTTGCTATTAAAGGCAGGGTAAGTGATTTCTGGTAGCCAATGTTGATATTTGAAATCACCAAAACAAACACGCCCCTACCCCAAAAGGGTCTTGCCCCTATTTTGATAGCTCCGCCCCACACATACGTACGCAACCCAGGCAATGATGAGTTCTGTGAAACAAAGCAAAACCAATGTTACACCGTGTCTACAGATGTGAGCGGCGCGGCGCAACAAATCCCGACAGAAAACTGCTGCCGGGTTCTATTTATGACGTGCTGACACACATTTCAAATGGTTTTCAACGGTCGTTTGGTCGCGTCCAGTGTAGGCAGACTTTAGCTGTTGTAGACACGGTGTTACTCACCTATTGAGAAGAAACAAAGCAACCTCGGCGTCCGATCGCAGGCCTCCGCTCCTTGAGTTCTCTCCAGCGCTGGAAAGCTGATCCGATATTTACACGGGTCCTACTTCTTGCCTTATCGTTCTGCAGACGTTTTCCTCTTTTGTTTTTTAT